TGTGAAGTATGAAAGCCCTAGCATAAACTATTCAAAAGTTATGGCTAAGGTTAAAGTTTTTCAAAAGTAGGTCAAACTCCTAGGTCGAGGTCAAAAGGTCAAAGTCGTTGGTATTCAAAGGAAGGTCTTGTCACAAGGATTACATATGTGAAGTATGAAAGCCCTAGCTCCAACCATTCAAAAGTTATGGCCAAGGTTAAAGTTTTTCAAAAGTAGGTCAAACTCCTAGGTCAAGGTCAAAAGGGTCAAAGTGGTTGATATCCAGAGGAAGGTCTTGTCACAAGGAATACGCATGTGAAGTTTGAAACCCCAAGCTCCAACTGTTCAGAAGTTATGGCCAAGGTTAAAGTCTCATAAAATTTTGCAAAAGTGGGTCAAACTCCAAGGTCAAGGTCAAAAGGTCAAATATGATGGTACCCAAAGAAAGGTCTTGTCACAAGGAATACACATGTGAAATATGAAAGTCATAGCTCCAACCAATCAAAAGTTATGGGCAAGGTTAAAGTTGACAACAGACAGACAGACAAACAAACAGACAAACAGACAGACAGGACAAAAACAATATACCCCCGGGATCTTTCGATCCGGGGGCATAAAAATCTTTAAAAATCTTCTTCTCAAGAACCACTGAGCCAGAAAAGCTGACACTTATGTGGAAGCATCCTGGGGTAGTGTAGATTCTAAATTGTTAAAATCATGGCCCCTGGGGGTAGGGCGAGGCACAATAGGGAATCCAAGTTTTACATTGAAATATGGGAAAAATCTTGAAAAATCTTCTTCTCAAGAACCACTGAGCCAGAAAAGCTGAAACTTATGTGGAAGCATCCTGGGGTAGTGTAGATTCTAAATTGTTCAAATCATGGCCCCTGGGGGTAGGGCGGGGCCACAATAGGTATTACAAGGGGGGAAGTCTGGTAATGAACAGCATGGCCAAAGTTACTCAGGTGAGCGATGTGGCCCATGGGCCTCTTGTTCCTAAATGTCACAGTGGTTTTATAAATGTTTAAAAATTATTTATACGCAATATGATATACTTTAAAACAGAAATGATGATATGGATGAATATTTATCTCAATACATGTGAATTAGTGTGTAAAAATTCCTGGGGTTGTCTTCATATTGGCTATGTTGGTGTTGACTCTTGTCTTTGGGGCGAGTTTTCCTGATTCCATTTCAATTTCATGGTCATTGAATTTCTCAATATTTAATATTTTGATTGAAAAAATATTCTTAAAATTAAAAAAGAAAGATGTTTGAAATTATTCATAACACATGTATCATCATGATCAAGTAATTACCAGTGATTTTTTAGGGCTGATTTGGGGCCGAAATTCGGCCCCAGTCCCAATTGAAAATATGCCTGTATTTTCCCAAAATGTATTGAAAGTTTTCCCAAAGAAAAACTTGCAAAATATGTGATTAATTTCAGTTTGTTTAGTGCATGTTTTTCAGTGAAGTTCAAGCAGGTTTTGTTGTTCAGCCATGTTGGATTTCTTCATAATTTATAGATATTTCATACCACTATTGTTCTTGATATAAGTAATTAGATAATTCATACCAAGAATAGTCTTGATTTGTTATAATAATTGTTTGTTAAAGTAATACAAAGACAAAAACAAAGTTTTTTGACAATGCTTTTTATGTGACTGGGTTTTCTTGGAAATTCCAAATTTAGCCTAATTGACGCTGGAATTCCCAATTCTGAGGGCCCCAGCCCCCAGTCCCAAAGTACTTAAAAAAATACTGGTTACTCTATGCCAGTGCTACCAAAGTAAGAGACTTCAATGCATTTTTATTTTGATCAGTAACAGCTATAGGGCTCAACATTAACTTTCAGCCTTACAACTTCACTAAAGAACTGGACCTCATCTTCACTAGACTTGACCTCAAATTCATTAGTCCTGACCTCAGAATCACTAGTCCTGACCTCAAGTTCAATAGTTCTGACCTTAACTTCACTAGTCCTGACATCATCTTCACTAGACCTGACCTCATCTTCACTAGTTCTGACCTCATCTTCACTAGACTTGACCTCAAATTCACTAGACTTGACCTCAAATTCACTTTTTCTGACCTCAAGTTCACTAGTCCTGGCCTAATATCTTTAGAATATTAAATGACTCATTTAATATTACTAGAATAGAACTTGTTTGTCAGTCCAAATTTTCTCAACCAGAGAGCTATAGTTCTGCAGCTACCTTGAAGCAAAATAAAATAGACCGTACCAAACTTTTACTAGTCTGAGTCAGTCAGACATGCCTTAATGTGAAGCCCTGTAGTCATGTGTATTCTGTGCTGAAATGTAAAGAAATTAAATCATGATTATATATGGCTTTTATGCCCCACCATGAATATGGCCGGGGCATATAGTGTTTGTCATGTCGTCTTCCGTCCTTCCGTCTGTCCTTCCGTCACACTTTGCGTTTAGCTCTGTTCAAAGCTCAGTTTCATAGAAACTATCCAAGATATTTTTATCAAACTTCATATGCTGAAAGATATTGATGAGAGCTATGCAACTGCATCAACATTTTTTGACCTTGACCTTTCCTTTGACCTTGACTTCACTTTTCTTAAATTAGTGTTTAGCTCAGTTTTAAAGATACCATTCAAGATAGTGTAATCAAACTTCATATTTTGAAACATACTGATGTTAGCTATTCAACTGCATCAACATTTTATGACCTTGACCTTTCTTTTGACCTTGACCTCACTTTTCTTAAATTAGTGTTTAGCTCAGTTTTAAAGATACCATTCAAGATAGTGTAATCAAACTTCATATGCTGATACATACTGATGAGAGCTATTCAACTGCATCAACATTTTATGACCTTGACCTTTCTTTTGACCTTGACCTCACTTTTTTTTAAATTAGTGTCAAACTTCATATGCTGATACATACTGATGAGAGCTATTCAACTGCATCAATATTTTTTGAACTTGACCTTTCTTTTGACCTTGACCTTACTTTTCTTAAATTAAGAAATGAAAGTTATATTTTTTTCTTTGACCGACGTGTCAAAGAAAAAATTTGGACAGAAAACGTCATCAATGCGCGTAGCGCATTGATGAAAACGTTTTCTGTCCAAATTTTTCTTTGATACGTCGGTCAAAGAAAAAAATATTACTTTCATTTCTTATCATTTAATTATGATTTTAAAATAATAAAATGAAACTTTCCTTCAGTTTACTATTTTAAAAATTTACGCATCAAAAACAGTGCGTAGAAATATATATCACAACAATGTTACTGAAATTAAAAATGGCTGTAGGCCTAACGAAGAAACAACGTTCTCAAATATTGTCGAGTCACTACCAACCTTTTCTAACAATAATTAACAGTTCTTTAACACAGAAAACTTACCTGTTGTGTTATTATTTTTTGCTATAATTCCCAATGGGTATATTTTCCCCGGTAAGCTATCTAGGTTCGTAAATTTAAGGGATCCTAACAACTCTTTCTATAGGTCACAGAAATATTGGATTTCATTTGCGCATCTCTTCATCTGAATTTCAAACCGAACGTATAAATCTGTCCATACTGTAAAATCTGAAAGAGTCTGTTGCCCACTGTTTAACATTGAAAGAATTCCGTCCTCATTCATGCAGTGTCGTTTTTCTCGATCATTCGATTCCTAAGAATTAACAGATTAACGGCATTTCCCCGCTTTGGTAGCATAAAAACATTTCTTCACAGTTCTATTTTTCATACCAGTTACCTCAAAGTCAAACATTTAACATAGGTATGCTGATTTCTTTCCTTCTTTCCCATTACTGTATTGTTTTCATGCAGACGATCTGATTTGTTTAGCAAAGGGGGATAATTCAAAAAGAAACGAGAGTAGAAAATAAGTCAGGAACGTAACGGACAAGTTTCGAAATTCAGGAAAATATCCATTAGAGAAAAAGTATTTAATTGTTCCTTCATGAACTTCTGGAAGCGGGAAATATACATGTAAAGACAGCCAAAGTAGTTCCGGCTGCTAAGTGCAAGCGAACTCCAAATTCTATTGATGCAGTTATCAAAAGAATTTTTTTATCCAATCAGAATCAATTATTTTATAGAAATTAAATGATTTAGTGTTTAGCTCAGTTTTAAAGAAACCATTCATAATATTTTTATCAAACTTCATATGCTAATACATACCAGGGATGGGCACGATTACTGAAAAAATGTAATCAATTGATAATCGATTACTTAGAGGAATTTTGTGTAATCGATTATTAATCGATTACACTCATTTTTGTCCTGTAATCGATTGTAATCGATTACTTTGGAAGATGTAATCGATTAATAATCGATTACTTCCAAGTTTTTATCCCTTCAAAAATCAAAGCGATATTTAAATGGTAAATGTTGATGTTATCCACTGAAGTTTGAATGAGTTCCTGCAGTTTCAGTGCAGATTCTTTTAAGGTTTTATTCTGGCTAACATTCTCACTAAATGCCCAAATGAGGGATTCTCTACCATGGAAAGTGGAGACATGATTCCTTCAATAAAATATGCCAAGGAATTAACTATTCCTTTCCACCTTGTATCTGAACCTCCATATTTTTTGACTTGTTGCAAAAATTATTTAATATTTTATTGTGAATTACTTCATTAGAAGTATTTGGGCTGCCCGTATGTTGTCAGTACACATTAAACATTCCTGTGTACACGTGTCAGCTCAGTTTTAAAGAAACCATTCATAATATTTTTATCAAACTTCATATACTAATACATACTGATGTAACCTTTTCAACTGCATCAACAATTTTTGACCTTGACCTTTCCTTTGACCTCGACTTCACTTTTCTTAAATTAGTGTCAAACTTCATATGCTGATACATACTGATGTAAGCTATTCAACTGCATCAATATTTTTTCACCTTGACCTTTCCTTTGACCTTGACCTCACTTTTCTCAATTTGTGTTAAAATGTTGCATTACTAAATAATATACCCTCGGCGGGGCATTCATGTCCTATGGACATATTTCTAGTTATTTATTGCTTTGCAGAGTTTCTGAGGAAGGAGAAGACAACTGTTTTTCATGCCAGAGGAATACTTGTTGGATGTACCGAGGCTGGAAAAACAACACTACTGAGGCGATTAAGAGGGAAACGACAAAATGTAGGTGAAGTTACAAAGTCATTCAGGGGAATAACAACACTGCTGAAACGATTAAGAGGGAAACGTCAAAATATCAGTGAAGTAACAGAGTCCACTAGGGGACTGGAAGTCCATCAGCATCTCTTCATTGTGAAAGATAGAATTTTAGAAGGTAAAAATAATTTCTGATACATATTCATAGCTTTCTCTCGAGGTGCATGACAGTCGTATTAAAAACACAATTAACTACTCAAGTCATTAAAAAGTAGGTGTCATTACTGAAATGCGATAAAAATTTAATCATAGCGGCAGCCCATTTTGATCATGACGCAGCTCGTTTAACCATGGCGTAAATAAATTTAACCATGGCGGGCTACCAAGGTAAAACCCCTTGTGGAGAACCCTGTAAGAAATATAAGCCTTTATGTTCACCTGGAAGGTCATGTGAAGATGAACATAACATAATAAGCAACAAAGTAGGGAGGGGGGCTACATTAATCAGAGATGCATGGACGATGCTTCTAGTATGTTTCATTGTACCAGCTAAGATTTCAGATGCTGCAATTTCAGCTAAGGAATGACCAGGTTAATGTTTTTGAGCAAGTTTTTGGAGCAGTTGAAGTTTTTTGAGTAGGTCTCCTTTCCAAGTAACCACCAGTATAACTTGCATGGATGATACATCTGAGGATACAGACTACCAGACTTGCTTCGGTTCCTGGATCTGACCTACATTTTCCAGATGAGTAAACAGGTTAAAGTTTTTGGAGAAGGTCTCATTTCCAAGTAACTATAAGGCCTATATTGACCACACTTTGCATGGATGGTACAAAACAGCGTCTCAACTAATTTTTTATTTGTCTAAACTATTTTTTTTATTCAAATATCATCTTTTCGAGGTTTGATTATTAATGGCTCATTCTTCAACTTACAAAAAACTGTCCTGAAGCACAAAATTGAAATGATAAAATTTCACTTTTCAAATTTGAGCAGAATATAGCTGAATTGGTAAACAAATTTTACTGAAATTCCAGATTGAGAGGTTTTTACTGAAAATATTTTAAAATTTTCCATCGTCTTACCTGCATTGTTGCAATGCCATACAACTTGCACAACTATATGCAAATGCAGATTATAAACATTTCTCAATTCCTCAATGCAGAAATTTCATGACCACGTAGTGTGAATGCAGGCTTCATGTATGTTGAATTATTATGTCTGTCAATGCAGGCATTGACCGACTCCAACGTCAGTCAATGCAGGCATTGACCAACTACACAGTCAGCCAATGCAGGCATTGACCAACTACACAGTCAGCCAATGCAGGCATTGACCAACTCCAACATCAGTCAATGCCTGCATTGGCCGACTACACAGTCAGTCAATGCCTGCATTGGCCAACTACACAGTCAGTCAATGCAGGCATTGGCAGGCATTGGCTGACTAAACAGTCAGTCATTGCAGGCATTGACCAATACCACAGTCAGTCAATGCAGGCATTGGCCAACACCACAGTCAGCCAATGCAGGCATTGGCCGACTACACAGTCAGTCAACGCAGGGATTGGCCGACACCACAGCCAGCCAATGCAGGCATTGGCCAACACCACAGTCAGCCAATGCAGGCATTGACCGACTAAACGGTCAGTCAATACAGGCATTGGCCGACTACACAGTCAGTTAATGCAGGCATTGGCCAATACCACAGTCAGTCAATGCAGACATTGGCCAATAGCACAGTCACTCAATGCGGGCATTGGCCAACTCCATGGTCTTTCAGAGGAGGCATAAGTTGACCCCTCAGTCTCTCAATGTAGAACTTGGTTGACTTTTACAAGCTTTTTTATCAAATAAGGAGTTGTTATCGTTAACAATTTTCACATCATGGATCAGTAGAATTATGAACAATTTCAGATTCATTTGAAATAAATAAGTTAATATGCAGCCAAGTAATTCTTAATACATTAAAGAATAATGGACACAAAATATCTTGTGAGTGAAACTTGATTTTTTTTTTACAGTAGTTTGATGTAAATTCATTTCATACGGGTACATTTAAAGGATGCCAGCATGAGAATGATCCTAACTGCTAAATGTCTACAAAGAACTGTATGTGCTTAGTACCTGATAAAAATTTACATCATTTCACTGCGGGGAACTTGGTGATATTCCAACATGAATGAAATATTTCCGAACACATCGTACACAAATAATCAACTAAAACAGAAATATCAATTGGTAGTTAAAATGGTCGAAATTGTCCTGCAATACATAAACATTCGGGTCATATTAAAAGAGTTTTTGCTCCTCTGTCATTTTCTTTTCCTTCGGTCTGCATTGTTAGTTAAAGCCTGTATATTCCTGAAAAAAAAATGCAGTGTTGGTAAAGTTATCAAGAAAATCTGATCATAATTACTTTAAAAAAAAAATTATTTATGATAATTTTTTTCAGATATATTCTGACAACCATTTATTTTGACTATGTTTATGGCTTGAAACAGTTGGATAAACAAGTACTGAGTAGTTTGAACTATTGTTTAAACTATAGATATTATTGGAACAGGGGTGGCAATTTTTTCTAAGTTGGATTAATTATACTTATGTATTTTCATACATTCAAAATTAAGACAGAATATTTATATCCAGGATGGTCAGAGGCAGATTATTTATTTTCTCGCCAGTGGACATTATTAATTTTCATCATTTTTAAGGACAACATATTTTTAAAATCTGCAGGACCCCCCCCCCCTCCCCCATTTTTCCCAAGAATTAATGAAATGGCCGATCCCTGACATTCAAACAAACAAACAAAAAAAAAAAATAAATAAATAAATAAATAAAAAAAAAGAAAAAAAAGAAAAGAATTTAAAAAAAAAAAACAACTCTACCAGTGTTTTCTTCTGTGACTTTTCCACCAGCTCACTGTCTTCTGTATTTCACTGGTTTCTGGAAGTTCATGATCGTTTTATAGGTACCGCAGGTCGATTTCAAGTCTCTTACATTCGCATCAATTTCACATTTACCGTGGCAAGCCTTGTGTCCTAAAAATAAAACAAAAATATTTATAGCCTTTTCAATTCAATCTTGGTTAAGGAAAAACCTATTGAAATCACATTGTATTTAGGATTTTTTTAAAAAACTTATCACAAATTATTTCACGATGGTTCAATCTTTTGAACGCCTCTGTATTAAAAGTGAAAGTAACATGCGTGTGTTTTGATATTGTTTATAACACTGTATAAGTAAGTCAAAAGCAATTTTATTTATTACTGGTTAATAAAAAGACGCAAGAAAAACTTACTAATGACGAACGCATACACTCAATCATTATAATCTGCTGATCGGAATAATGCGTGGGCTCGATGATCCATATACATGTACATGTACGTACTCTCTCTATGTACATACAGCCGTAGTACGTAAATGCGTATATTCTTTCACTAAGATACACATACATGTAGGGCTAAATACAAGAAATAAAATTCCGTCCTTTCTTTCGTTATATTTAAACGGCCTTCTACAACTGCTAACGTTTCGCGGATTTTAGTTTCTGTTTGAACACAGTTGAATTCAATGTATGTGACGTCATAAAGGCACGTTGTGTTGCTCTCAACAGTTAGGCCTATTTGAAGATTGACCATTCACTCAAGTAACAAAGATGTGGGCGATTACAAAAAATTGGAATTGTCATTATGCAGTGGAAAACAACACCCAGATGTGTTTTTCTTTTCTTGAAGCAAAGCTCTGTCCTCCATCTACACGTACGGAAGTCCAACCTCTAAGACCTCTTGATTGTAAGTAACACATGCATCTGAGTAAATATGTATATGAATATACATATATAATTTAATTTCGTATGTATTCTAGCCTCTGATTGGTTAATATCCAAAAAGGAACACAAATTATTTCTGTATAACCTGGTTTGGTATGGGGACAACCCCCCCCCCCCCTGACAACCAGCTGAATCATCTGTATCCATAGAATCCTCTCATTTCCAGTCCTCGGGATTCATGGAAAATTCCAGATTTAATAAATGTACCTTTAACTTCAAACAATAATTCGATCTTACCACATGTAAACAAGCTGCTAGGCCTATGTATCAGTTTTTACCTCCCCTCGCTTCCCATCACTTCCGTTACTTCCGTTACTAAAACGAAATTTTACACCCATAGTTATTTAATGATTTTAAAATTAAATTATAAGGAATGACTCTAATTCTTGGCCAAATTATTCGAGTATAACCTGGTTTGGGTCAGTTTACACTGTTTTATAATCCGCTTCGCGGATTATAAAGCGTAAACTGACCCAAACCAGGTTATACTCGAATAATTTGGCCAAGAATTAGAGTCATTCCTAAAATATATTTGTGTTAATTTGACAAATGCTTATTTCAAAATAACTACTGTATTTCCGAATTAATTTCTTAAAGGTGTTTAAGGTTATTTTTAGGATTCGGGATTTTCCAATGTTTAGAAGTATAGCTTCTGTTCGAAAGTACATGTAAATCGTACGTTGTTTGTTTTTTATGCAGAAATCATGCATATTCATTTTAACTGCAAACGTGTACTTATTCAATGGGGTCATAATTCCGTGGAATCACAATTTCTGCTCAATCCACTGGAAGAAAATTACGTGGATTTCTTAAATTGCCACTATATACCTTAAATATACGGACCTGAGTTGTCTCAGTTTCTTTGGACCTTATTATATTAATGATCAGAATTAACAATTTTTTTTTTAAATTTTCCACAGCAATTATATTTGAAGATGGAAATGAAGAAAAGGGACTTCGGAGCTAAAAGAACCTCTGTAAAAAGTTTTATGCAGCCAGAAGATTGTCTTGATGCTGTGAACGACTATTGGTTAGTGAATCTAAAATGCTTGGAAATAGTTTTTGAAGAAAAAAAATACATCTATATGCAATGCTAAACTTTGCAAATTCAATGTTTTTTTAATCTAGGGATTCTTAAATACTTGTCTATTTTTTTCTTAGCAGATTTGAAAGTGGTGAGTGAAACACAGATGGAATCTACGGCTACACTACACTACATTATGTGATTTTTCTAGGAGATCTGAGCCTATTTGTTGGAATGGTGGCGAAGGACCATACCTTTAGGTTCTGTATTTTCAATATTCAATATTGTGACTTATCTGGTTGCTTGATTTCAGTTTTATTTAAATTAGAAATATTTGATAGTCATTATTTATTACAGGATTTTCACTGTTATTTAAGGAATTTGTTCATTGAGTCATGAGTGTGCAAAATACATTAAATTGAAAATCTGTGCCAGAAGCACTTTAATAGGAATTAGCATATAGAGCATATTGCATCAAATAAAATGTTGTGACAAGATGAGTAATTGTAATTATTTGATAGAAACAATGCCGAAAATGAAATTTACTTGAAACAATTTTGTGTAACGAACTCCGAATTTATTTTTCAGGTGAAGTACTGATAACTGCACAGAAACATAAACATACAATAAATGGAGAAGGAATCAGAAAGACAATGTTCTGGCAATTCAATAAAATTGTCCAAAACTATTTTTTAAAAATCATACTTTAAAATTACATCGTTTCATTTCAGCTCAGATTTCTGCTTATTCTTTTTTTAATATAAAAAATAAAAGTTAAAATTGTTGTTGTATATGATGTTGCAAGTTGTCAATGTAAGTAAAAAACAAGGGAAAAGGATCTTATAAGAACCTTCATCTTTGTTTGTTTGTTTTGTTTGTTGTTTTGAACATATTTTATTGACAATGTGTCAAAGGGATTGGACACAAGTTCTAAAAACTTAGATAGTCCTCTCCCATCTTTAAATGATTTCTGGATGTCTGCATTTAAAACAAGGATGATATATATTTTTGAAAGGAACAGATTACTTGGAAGAGTCTCCCAATTCCTGTATTGGACTTTGAGAGAGTCGCCCAATGCCTGCATTGGCTCTTCTGAGAGTCGCCCAATGCCTGCATTGGACTTTGAGAGAGTCGTACAATGCCTGCATTGGCTCTTCTGAGAGTCGCCCAATGCCTGCATTGGACTTTGAGAGAGTCGTACAATGCCTGCATTGGCTCTTATGAGAGTCGCTCAATGCCTGCATTGGACCTTGAGAAGTCGCCTAATGCCTGCATTGGCTCTTATGAGAGAGTCTCCTAATGCCTGCATTGGACCTTGAGAGACTCTTCCAATGCCTGCATTGGACCTTGAGTGACTTCCAGTGCCTGCATTGGACCTTGAGAAGTGACCTAATGCCTGCATTGGCTCTTATGAGAGAGTCGCCCAATGCCTGCATTGGACCTTGAGAGAGTCTCTCAATGCCTGCATTGGCTCTCATGAGAGTCGGCCAATGCCTGCATTGGGCTTTGAGATAGTCGTACAATGTCCGCATTGACCTTTTAGAGAGTCAGGCAATGCCTGCATTGCCCATTGAGTAAAAGAGAGTCCCAATGCCTACATTGGCCCTTTAGATATTCGTGCAATGTCTGCATTGGCGAAATGAACAAATTCCTTTGACAGATTGTCATAAAATTCTTGCATTGGCTTAACTATAAAAAGATTTTCAAAATTTTTTACACATTGGTGATTCTTAGCGGGAATTTACAAATAATATTTCATTTTCGTAATAATCGTCACTGCATTGCAAGTTTATTTATTTTCCAAGTGTTCAAATAGATTTTGTATTCC